TTGCATAGGATTGATTGTAGTGATTTTGTCGGTTTGTGTGCCACACCTGTCCCGAAGGTTTTCAGCAGTCTCGTTGCGGTTTCTGATATGCCACCACCATTTCAATCTCTGAACTAATTCTATTATTATGAAAACATATTTAGTAGCCTAATATCTAACTCCAATTTAGATTGTATACTGATTGTCATTTAAATATACATGTCGGCTATCATAGACTTAAATCGTGCTGATGAATAATGGAATTCAATAAGTCAAACACAAGAATGAATGTTTTGAATACATATATTTTGTATACTGATTGATATCCATAGATAATCAGAGGGACAAAGCAAAGGGAAGAGATTGAAACAAAATGATACGCAATGGGGGAAGGCATGTAAGCTAACTCCAGTTCAATCGAGCGTTGACCATTATTTATAGCTGGATGAAAATAGGTTGGTTTGAACAATTTTTTCTGGTTAGCGTTTTTTTAGCGAGTCAGTTTTCTAAGTGATGGAGTCGCTAATTCCATGCCCAAACCTCCTCCTTTATTCGGGCATGGGACCGGCAGTAGCCCAAGAGGGGCTCCAGGCGGAGTTAGATAAAAATAGGTTACAGACATGTAATGAATAGGATAAGAAGTGTACACACAATGTGCTCATATAAAAACAGCCAAGGTTGATAATTGAATAATTAATAAGGTCAAAATGGATGAATTGGCCTATCTAGGAGCTAGAATAAGTTATATGGGTTTAACATAGTAACTGATACTACACACAACTGTGTGAATGAAGAATATTCTTTTCAATGAATTTCTCATCAAGGACTCTACAATTATCTCATATCCAAATTAATCATCCATAAAAATGGTCAGGCAGAGTACATCATTTAAAACTTGTTGCATGTGAATTAAGGATTGTTGTTTGTCATATAAAATGAAAACCGTGAACAAAAATCCTCTGTGTATACTCTTAAAATTCATAGGCAGTGCATCTAGGGTAACGCTAAGACTAAATTTACAAAGATCAATCCAAAGAAATTTTAATCCAGGTAAACTATAATTTATGTTTTCCACACGTTCAATGATCACTGCGAGGTTGAAAAATAAAGTGCCTAGACTAGCCACTTACATCTTTTGTATCTACCAACTGGACTGCGCCTGGGAAGCAATTTACATTTTCAGATGTTCTAGGAATTAGTATATTCAAGTTCATGGGCACCTGCTAGTGTGGTTACGTAATGGTGTAGTTAAAACTGTTAACAACTCCATTTCAGTTCATTTAATTCAAACGGGAGATACAGTCAACGTAGAGCAATCTTTCACGATAATAATATCGTGTCAACAGCAGTCTAACTAATTCCGTCAGACTAAGAATCCTGTAGACGGCTGAAACAATTGCTATTTGGATTAAAAATCCAGAGCTTTGCAGCCAAAAGAAATATGTCCAGCCACTCCTTTTACTCTGGTCAGCTTCGGGTCCAACTAGTTAATAATCAATTTTATGATGTGATGACGTAACTTCATTAATGTTCATTTTTATATCCTTTATTTATCTTATTCACACATTTTACCATTGTCATTATTATTATTACACTTGTCAACCTTTTTGAGAAATTTATTCAGCATCCACCTCTAACTACTAATTCTTGCCCAGTTCGTATTATTCTACATATTACGTAATTTTTTATTTGTAATTACATTATTCCCTTTCTCTCTCTCTCTCTCACACCCGATGTTGACCATATTCATTCTGATCATTTATCTCACAATTTCATTTCACTTATAAACTGATTCGAGGTAACACTTCATATCAATCAGCTCTTGAAGCGTATTACGCTCATATGATTTTGAGATCTCAAAATCATATGAGCGTAATACGCTTCTCGTTGTTCGAAAATGGGAGAATTTCGCCAAAAGGCAGGCTTCCACTCGAGAACAACTATATTTTCTCCATGAGTGTTTTCGCCAGCATGTTCTACCAACAAGTGTAAGATATAGACCTCCAATCAACTGCCCATTAGGATGGAGAATTGCCGAGCAAAGTGGAAGAAAAATGGTACACCTAATGATAACGGCTGCACACTACAGGATCTGAAAATACCAACACGTCATAGAAGACCAAAAGATAAAGCTACAAAGGATGTTCACATCAGAACATTTGGAAATCGTGACAACAGCCATCGAGATATCATGCAAACGACATAGAGAACAAGGAAGAAACACCTTAAAGAAAAAACTAATCAAGATCTCAAAACCACCCAGGGAAGAAAACACAAACAACTGCGTGATCAATCTGTCAAAACAACCACTAACAAATACGGAAGAACACCTGCTCCAAAAAGGATTAAACTACAATACAAGCGACGCCTCAAAGCTGCAGTTCTTCGCAGCACTAGAGTCATCACTCAAAACTTCCGGAATCAGTGAAGAAACACAACAGGAAATAAGGCAAAATATAGTACCGATAACTCAACAGGTGAAAGAAAACAACCAACTGACTCCACAAGAACAAAAGGCCTTGAAAGAACTCAGAAATAGAAAAGATATTATCATAATACCAACGGACAAGGGACGCACCACAGTAATCATGGACAAAGAAGAATACATCAACAAAGCCGAAGAACTACTCGGAGACAAGAGCACATACAAACTGATGGACACAAATCCCGTCAAAAAATTAAACAATCAAATCTCAAAGACTTTAAACAAGCTAGTCAAAGCAGGAGAAATAACAAAACAAGACCAATGGAGAATGAAATCCAGTGGACCAGTACTCCCTCGATTCTACGGTAGACCCAAAATACACAAACCAAACATTCCACTACGTCCAATAGTAGCACTCCCCGGAACGCCACATCTCAAAATCAGCACTTGAATTAACGATTTGATTTCATATGATATGACAAACAATTTTTAATGAAGTTAAGTTCTCTGAGTTGAATGATTTGGTCGTGAAGCTTTCATCGTTCTTCTGAACGATATAATCAGCACAAACTTCCACCTCAGCTACAAATCTTCCCTTCCATGACAAACAACAATCCTTAATTCATATGTAACAAGTTTTAAATAATGTACTCTGCATTAAACCTGACCATTTTTATGGATTATTAATTTGGATATGATAATTGTAGTGTAGCTGATGAGGAATTCATTGGAAAGAATATATTTCGTTCATATAATTGTGTTTTAAATATTTATTGTTTGCTTGTATCTTTCTATTAATATTTAAGACTGCAACTGATTAGTTTCTTATTGACAAATATGCATACTGTGCCTATTGTCTCGATATTGCCTTAAGTTAGAAACATTATGAGCAAAGATGAATAATGACTAGAAGTGGAATCCAGGAATCACAGTCCTAAACATCGATAGGAAGATACAAATAAACAACACCAAGTGAATTTAAACTTCATCTAATTGCACAAGCAGGTGGCTATCAAGACTCAGTAGCTAAGTGGATAAGGTGACGGTTATTTGAAGTGAACGGTACCGAGTCCGAGTCCTGAAGTGAACATCAACTCTGCAATGCAAGTACATCGAGCTGACGAGTCTCAAATGTGGTGAAACGTACATCCTGTATTCCACTGTTAGCCACCATCAATCTTTATTTATAACTTAAGTTGTGAAAATAGTGAGTTACATTGATAAGATATAAAGAATGCTAATAAATTGTGATGAATTCGTTGAAATGCATAACTTCATTCCCAAATACTATTTGAAAGGTGAAGTTAGTAATACATTAGCAAGAGACTGAAAATAATAATTTATTGTATAGAAAAATTAAGTTTCAACTATTTTCATGATTAAATTCACTTTGTACTGTTTACTTGTATCTTTCCAATGATGTTTAGGACTGCATATGTATATTCTCTGCGGATTGCATCGATATAACCTTAAGTCATAAACTTTTTAAGCAAAGATGGATAATGGTTAGCAGTGGAATACAGGATGCGCGTTTCACCACATTTCGGACTCGTCAGCTGGGTGTACCAGCATCTCAGATGTGATGTTCACTACGGGACTCAAACCCAGTACAGTTCACTTCAAACAGCCATCACGTTATCCACTCAGCGACTGAGTCCTGATAGCCATTTGTTTGTGCAATGAGGTGAAATTTAAATTCATTTGGTGTTGTTTTACTTGTACTTTCCCATTGTTATTTAGGATTGCAAATGATCAATCTCATGTTGGCATATGTGCATGTTGTGTGGATTGCCTCGATATAGCCTTAAGTCAAAAGCTTTATTTTCATGATTTCTTGGTCAATTTTATTCAAACGAGGTTTTTTCCCATTATATGAAATATAGATGAGTATTATCAATGTGTATAAATCATCTTCATTCTTATTATTGATATTATTGTGCAAATACTAAATTTTGACACAATTTGAATTCTTCATTCAAACTAACAGAAAGTTTTGAAAATCTTATGATTGTTATGACTTAAAGTCCGGCTAGTTACCAGATTATTTATCCGCCAATCAAGATACTACTTATTCGCTCTTATACTGTACTAAACCGATGATGTTCGATCGGTATGAGCAGCCTAGCGTCTTTATTGTTCCTTTTTTTCCCAGGCCTTTCGATTGAGTCTAGAGAGTGAATAGCAGCTTCCACTATGCGAATCATTTATTTCAAACATAATTGGTTTATATATATTAGCCAAGCAAACCGCATCGCACTATAAAATAGGAAATAACATTTATACACTACAAAGCCAAAAGGTGACTGTGAACGTGGGAGACTGTAATCAATGAACTGAACATAACTTCAGAACAGTCAATCGTACAATAATAATCTATAGGTCAAAACGAAGCTTATAATAAGGGGAATATAGATATACATAATCTAATTAGTGAATAGTTATATCATAAAAATATATAAATAATATTAGTCCATTAATAGGTCTCAGAAGTTACTCGTAATGTAATCTTCGCTAGGATATAACAATGATTATTCCAAGAAGAAGTATATTTAATTAAGAATAATTGACCGAAACTCCTATAAATTATGTTCCTAGAATGATTTCATTAATTAAACATAGCAGGACATTCAAAACGCAACAGATTGTACCCAAGTATAATGTTGTGGTATATTACAGGAAATAAGGGTAGATTATTATTATTATTATTATTATTATTATTATTATTATTATTATTATTATTATCAGATATTAATTTTCACCAATCATCACAATTCTTAAACTTATGTTCAATTTATAGGCATTGTCTCCTAGAAGACAATCAATAATTTGTTTGTATTCAGGTCTACAGACTTTAGTTGGAAATTGGTGATTAGTCTACTTATTATTATTAACTTTATACAATATTATATTATTGGTACTATATAGAATTCTCAGCATAAAGTATTTGAACAAGTTTCCTTTTGTTATTTCATGATCGATCCTGATGATAAATATTGAGTAGTCGCTAATTAGATGTTAGTAGTTCAGGTATTGACATCGAAATAATATAAATTCTTTTCGATCCATATTGCCAGTAACCACGATGTCTCCGACTGGGCATTTTTGTTACTTGTACAACGAAATGTATAAAACGTTTTACAAATGCACCTGAATAAGTTATGATGTGCTAAAACAAATGAAAAACAAAATAGATAACTTTTTCGAATGATCTAAATAAGAGGAACATATAGATTAGATATTTAAGAAGACCATTTGAAATCCCAGTTTATGACGTTAATTATGCATTGTAATTAATTAAAACTCCTACAAAGCTTTGAAATTAAGCTTTTCTTGTTCATTAAAACTCATTACTGAAATGTCTCTGAATTCGAACTCATATTACTTTATAACTTAATCAATGACATTGATACTAAACTGTTTAGGTTGCTATTAAACACTTGCAAAACTGTCATACATTTATTAGTAGCTTATTGATTAGTAATAAATGATGTATTTATCAAATTAGTATTTAAGTTAAAAAAGTAGAAAACAAATAATACATTATATTTCATTCTTTCTCAATAATAAGAATATTATTATTGCTAATACTACCACAACAACAACAACAACAACAACAACAACAACAACAACAACTACTACTACTACTACTACTACTACTACTACTACTACTACTACTACTACTACTACTACTACTACTACTACTACTACTACTACTACAACTACTACTACTACTACTACTACTACAACTACTACTACTACTACTACTACTACTACTACTACTACTACTACTACTACTACTGATACTACTACTACTAATAATATTAATGATATATTTATTTTTGGGTTAGTGGGGAAGATTTATAGCTGAGGTGGATGATTTTGATAACGTTTTGTTCTCTGAGGTGGATGGTTTCGTCGTGGTGCTTTCATCGTTCTTCTGAAGGACTTCTATCTGAAGTTTGTGCTGATTATGTCATTCAGAAGAACGATGAAAGCACCACGACCAAACCATCCATCTCAGAGAACAAATCTTGATCAAAATATTTATTTTTAAATGTAATTTATAAAAAACAAATGAGTGGGAGAGATTTCTATTTCTTTTTTTTTTGAAGTAACAAAGTACATTAACATTTACATAAGAATTTTTTCTTCATTTTCATCATTTAAAATCTTTTCTTTTCAAAAAAATACTCGTATCGAATTAGAGGAAAAAAAGTAAATTGCTTAAACATTTTGATTAAGAAACATTGTACTAATGTTAGAGGTAAATTGTATGTTTGTAGATATGTATGTGTGTATTTGTGTATGTATGTACTCAGATACAATAGGATTACGTTACTGTATTATGTAATAGATATCTATCTATGTTACATTACAAGTAACATGAAATTCACATACAAAAATTAGGTAATATATGTATCAGAGAAGGTTTTTTTGTGGAGATTGTAATAATTTAATAGTTGAATTCATGATTCAATGTAATCTAGACCACCATTGAAAACATGAAATCATTCGATCCACGATACCACCTCGTGAGATTCAAACCTAGCACCTAACAGTCTCGCAAACGAATGCTTAACCTTTAGACCACTGAGCTGGCTGACATTCAACGGTGTTAATGTCTAACTTCAACTAATCGACGAAATTGCGCCACTGTACACCATTGTCTTCAGCCACGATTGAACTCCGCGGATGCTAGTGTGGATTGTTTGAGGTTAGACACTGATACCGTTGATGATCTAGTGGTTAAGCGCTCTAGACTGATAGGTCTCAGGTTCGAATCTTACGAGGCGTGATCGTGGATGCTCACTGCTGAGGAGTTCCATACTAGGACGAAATGGATGTCCAGTGCTTTCAGGCTTTTCATGGTGGTCTAGCCTGAATTTACTCATGAGTTCAACTTATATATGTATATACTCATAAAATGAGTATACAGTTTGAAATAAATAGAATAAATGTATATTTTCACTAAATTTTAATGGGCTTAAAAGTTAGTGTGTGAGACCGAATATCCTGGGTTAAATTTCAACGTGTGAGACTGTAGATGTGCATTTCCGAGGAGTCCCATACTAGGACGAAAAAGCGATCCAATGCCTTTATGTTTTCAATGGTGTTCTAGCTTACATTGACTCATGAATTCAACTGTTAAAATCACTACAGTCTCGACAAACCCGATTTTGATAAAAAGAAAATCGTTTGTTTATGTTATCCAATCCATGCAACGTCAAATAAACTCTTGATATATAGTGACCAAATGACTAATAAACAGGTCTTTATGAATTTTCTTGGTTTTTCAGAGGTCATTTGATACCAATCACAATTATATATGTACTGCAAAATGTCGCAAACTTTTAATAAACGAACCTGAATAGGTTGTGTGATCAATAAGCATAATAATGTGCTAGAACATACAAGAAAACAGATAACTTTTTGAAATACACAGATGGCAGGAACAGATAACTCAGATATTCAAACAGGCCGCCCTGGTCTCATCAATAAGTGAATTTAAACTTCACACCATTGCACAAACAAATGACTATCAGGACTCAGTAGCTGAGTGGATAACGTGATGGCTGTTTGAAGTGAACAGTACTGAGTTCGAGTCCCGCAGCGAACATCACCTCTGAGTTGAAAGTACATCCAACTGACGAGCCCGAAATGTGGTGAAACGCGCATCCTGTATTCCACTGCTAACCATTATCCATCTTTGCTTAAAAGTTATATAGAGTTTCATAAAATCATATATCTCATTGAAAAAATATTGCTTCAATTGACACCGTCAATTTTCATCTGTTAAATTTTATTATTATTATGTCCCTTCATTCAATTATATAAAAACAGAATAAACAATCATTTCAATTTAATATCTTCAATTGTTTATCAATTTGAATGAAGAATAAGTAAAAGAGAAAGAAGGAAAAGAAAACATACGAACAAAACTAATCTTTCTGCACTTTCTTTTTTCTCGTTTATACTCTTGATAATATAAATAGATTGATATATATATTGTTATCAACTTCATGATTTAGTTACTTTTAATGTAAGTAAAACTGATGGATATTTTCTTTTTCTCTCTAAATTTTCAAATGCAAAACATAATCCACCGATGTTGATGTTCATTGTAGGACTCGAACTTAATACTGTTGGCATCAAACGCCATTGTGTTATCCACTTAATTACTGAGTCCCGAGTCCCAGAGTGAACATCAACTATGAGATGCAGGTACATCCAGTTGACGAGTTCCAAATGTGATGAAACGTACGTCCTGGATTTCATTGCTAGTCACTGTCCATCATTGCTTAGAATGCTTGTGAATGAAAGCAATATCGAGACAATACGCACAGTATGCACATATGCCTATAACAGACTGATCAATTGTGGTCCGAAACTCTAATGATAAGATTCAAGTAAACAATACCAAACGAATTTATTCATACAAATATTCTCGAATGTTTGGTTTTTATATATAGTGTTATCAGAATGAGGGTTCATAGAGTTTGTAGTAATTCAATAGTTGAATTTATGAGTCCAATTAAGCTGGATAACCATGGAAAACCAGGAAATATTCTATCGTGGGACTCCTCAGCAGTGCGCATCCACGATCTCGCCCCTGGGTTTGAATCTCGCAGGGAACGAGGTCGTGGATGCGCACTGCTGAAGAGTCCCACAATAGGACGAAACAGCCGTCCAGTGCTTCCAGGTTTTCCATGGTGGTCTAGCTTCAACTGACTCATGATCTTAATCATTCCAATTACTATAATATCCACAAAACCCATCTGATATCATTTATATGTATGTGTAAATGGATTTGAGGTGAGAGAGAGAGGGAGAGAGAAATTTTAATGATTATTATCGGTGAAAGTTTTCCCATAAAAACTGACAGTTTTTATAGCTGATATGAATCAAAGAAGAAAGATTAGTTCAGCGAAGAGTTGTCTTTTCGGTGAATTCATTTTCAAAGATGCACAATCGCAAATGTATATACTTATTTTTACAGGATGATGATAATACTGATAATAAACTACTGTTAGACATGATGACAGTGAGGTTAAATAAACAAAGGTATTAAAAGAACTTTTTTTATAAAACAAGGAAAATTTAATAATCGTTTGATTGTTAATGGCTTAAGTATTCATCAAAAAATAGATGGGGAAATTATCTTATCAGTATTATAAGATAAAATGTTGGAATTGAGATTAAATGTAATCAGAATGATTGTGGAAACAAAATAAACTAGTTGGGGGTAGAGGATTTAAGGGGAAGGTGAAGCAGATGGCTCTAAAGAAGAGTATGAGAAAGAGAGAGAAAAAAAATTATAAGACATTAAGACCATGGTTGAAGAGATTGTACCAGCTTCTTTTGCACACACAATTCTGGTTTTTCCAGATGTATGGCTAATATTTTGGCAATGCAAAGAAAATGCAGTCTAATTGTCTTAGGAAGACTTCGACTTACCTAGTAGATGACTTTGAACTCAGAGTCTGTCTTGATTGAGTGACCTGTGTTCACAAGGTGTTTGATTATTGAACTCTTATTGAGCCGTAGTCTCCTCTTTTTAGCCGCGCCGGACAATGTTCTCGAATTCTTTTGGATAAAGTACGCATCGAACGACCGAGCTTCACAGGTAATTTGGTAAATGCACATCAAACATGCTATAGCATACATAAAATGAAGATAAATAAACAAAAATAAGAAAATAAATGTTTGTGTTATTGTCCTAATCAAATTAGTTGTTTATCATATATTCAGATAAACCGATTGATTAGAACAGTTGAAAGTAATCGTTGTTATTCAACTGATAATCAGGAGTTCCGGTTTTGTGTAACCTTTTTTCTGACTCCATATGGATCTTAAGAATGGTTGTTATGGTAATATGCATGCCGCCAATCCTCATACATATTCATCAAGTTGACTTGCGTTGGTGAATAACGAAATTAAAGTAAGTCAATTACGAGAATGGATTTCCAGTACGTATATTTCACACAATCGATGATTTAGATAGATGATCAGAAAAACTATGTGAAGAAAGATATATTATGAATAGAGTAAGTAACTAACACTCATACGATCATACATAAACAGTCACGGTTAATAAATGAATAAGTGATAAGGTCAAAATGTAGCTTGAGATGAATGAATAAATTATTCTGTCCAGAAGCAAGAATAACCTGTATAGGCTTGACGTAGTGTCAGCATCTATATCGTTTTACTTATTAACATTAGTTGTCATAGAACAGGTAATTGTATTCCATCTCTTCTATACACAATGTTTGGACTTGCTCATGTGTAGGGCTTCAACTGTAAGTCATTCTTTGTAAGAAATAGAACCTTTCTAGAGGATTTTTGTGTCATTGAAATCAATCGTATGGCCCGATTCTATTGAGTGTAATGCTGTCGCTGTTTGGGTTTTTAGTTCTTCAGATCATCTGAGGATTTAGGAATGTGTTTCAAACATAGTTTGTGTCCCTTCACCCTCGCATTCATTTCTTGTGATGCCTCACTTGTTATGGCTTTACGTCAGGCTTTTTATCACGTAACTTATCCACACAACCTTAGCACTATGCCGAACCAATGACGTTAGACCGGTATGAGCAGCCTAGCGTCTTATTTGGTCTTATGTCTGCCTAGCCCGTCCGCTTGAGTCCAGAACACAATACCAGCTTCTGCAACATGAATCGAATCGAATCTAATCATTTATTTCAGACATATTGGTTTATATATCAATCAAACAAACCGCAACGCACCATCAAATAGGAAATAACATTTGTACACAAAAAGCGGCTGTGAACGTGGGAGGCAGTAGTTAATAAACTGAACATAACTTAAGAACCGTAAATCGTACAATAATAAATTATAGGTCAAAATAAAGCTTATAATAAGAGAAATATAAATATACATAATCTAATTATTGAACATTTATACCATAGGAATGTATAGATAATATTAGTCAATTGATATGTCTCAGAAGTTACTCGTGATTTAATCTTAGCTCGGATATAAAATCATTTATATATATAGCATTACAGTCATAATATTTGAACTCATATGCACAGTTTTGTTGTTCTTCCTTTCGTATTGAATCTTTGATTCTTAGTAGTTAAGAGCCTTCAGTATTATTTGTTCGATTAACTTACATATACATACAGCTGTGAACTTAACACACTTTTCTTTATGCACAAAATGTCTCATTTTAATTATTAGACATTAATGACTGCATGATTATTACCAAAATGAGATGTTTGTATAGGCTACTTAATATGACAAGAGAATACATTAGAGTTGGACATTAACCAACCAGTCACTAAAAACTATACAGTATTGACTAGTTATTTCGTTCTAGCATAGAATTTCTCAACAGCACACTGTCGTGGTCCTGTTGGTTCCACAAATCTTGCTTGTCACTACTTGATTTCCAAATTGTTGTTGTTGTTGTTGGGTGAATTTGATGTGTGTTGTTAAGATACACTCAAAATGAACAACTTACACTCGTTTTAATATGTTTATTTACCAATATTGATATAAATAAATAAAAAACGAAGTATAGTTCATTACTCATATCATTTCTGCTTCATAAAATTCTAATGTAAACCTTATAATCAGTAACAGAATTTTAAACCTGTAATTACCATGGGGGGGGGGAGAATTTTTTTCGCCTACTTAATAATTTCACACTGTAATTATAATAGCTGATTAGAATCTTTATTATTATAATTTGATATTTTATTGTTTCCAAGATGAAATCCGTTCCTAGAATTCATATTTATCTAAAGTGAACATTTTAAAATCAGCACAAATTTGGGTTAGTATAGTTTATTAATAATGATTGTGTGATCACTTTGAAACGTGGTCATTCAAAGTAGAAGATACTTGTAAGCTTCCAGTATTTAATCACAAATGTCTTAGAAATATTGTCAGTAATGGTGAGATTAGATACTGGGTATTCCGAAATGATGATAAATCAGTTGATGAGGTTGTGAATTTTTATTGACTGAGATGGATGGGCTATGTGTTACGTATGTTTGAAATCCGATCACCACGACATGCAATGCTGACTAGCGTTGGAGACGGTTGGGAAAATGTTAGAGGCGGTCAAACCAAAACGTGGCATCAGTGCTTGAAGTCATTAACTTCTAGTCTTAGCCATGATGGTAGATGCAGACTACTTGGTTGGGGTCTGCATGACTATCGTAACCAATGGTTGGAGACTACACATGATATGTCTCAGAATCGATCACAATGACGTAGGTGTAAACACTCTCTGTCTTCCCTTAAACTATGAGATTAAAATTGTTTCATATCTCTCTTTCTACGAAGTAATTATTTCTTCCTGTACTAATTCCTTATATGCAATCTTTCTTTTATATATTACATCATTGAATTAATTGATTCTATGAATCCGGTACATTGGTTCAAGTTACCTTGGTACATGAATCCGGTGTTCATCTTGCTGCGCTAATGGGGTATGGCAAGTCGGACCGATGCATATATGTGCCTGATCCTACGTTGTAGCTGACTGACTGGCTGAATCATTTTGAATATATTATCAGAAGGGGTTTTGTGGAGATTTTAGAAATTTCACTAATTGAAATCATGAGTCACTCTAAGCCAAACCACCATTGGAAAGCTGTAAGCACTGGACGACCGTTTCGTCCTAGTATGGGACTCCTCAGCAGTACGCATCCACGACCCCGCACCCCGCGAGATTCGGACCCAGGACCTATCAGTCTCGCGCCGGGCACTTAACCATCTAGACCATTGAGGTGACTCCCCGAAGACAATAGTGTGTGGTGGCGCAACTTCGTGGATTGGTTGAAGTTAGATATTAACACCGTTGGATGCCGGCTCATTGGTCTAGTTGTTTAAGTGCCCGGCTGATAGGTCCCGGGTTTGAAT